TATTTTATTCAAAAATAAAAACATCATCGCTTTCTCAAAATCACATAAAGCCATATTATAACATCGACTGAGATAAAGAATAAAATGAAATATTAAAAACACGATGTATCTCGCTGCATTGCGCGAGTACGCTTCTAGTATATATATATATCGCAGTCAAATGATTGACAACCTGAAACCAAAGTTTCATCCTGGCATTTTGCAGTTTTAAAAGAGAAATTGAAATTCGGTTTTTGTAGAATATATAATGACCAACATACGAACCTTTTGTCAGCAAATATCATCATACCATAATCTGCCTTTGAACGAATAACTCGTCCAACACATTGAGCAGCTTGCCTCTGTCAAAGTTGTGATCATTAGGGAAGATTTTTGGAAAAAAGGATCATCAATAATCAACAATCATGTTACTGAACAGTTCATCAAAATAATGGAAAGTACCAAGGCATCAAAAGTCAAAAAGTCGCCTTCTTTTATCTGGAAAGTCTCCCGCAAGTACTCTAACCGAGCAAGTAAGATCCTGCAAACTCAAATACCAAGTTAACCACATATGAGACCGATACTCTCCCTCCGTCCCAAAATAAATGTCCACCAATGGAAAATGTAAAGTTCTAGAAATGCGAAATTATTAGAGACTAATTAACTGACAATTATACCCTTAACAATAGAGGGAGTAATGAATTTCTCCGTCTCATTATAAGGGTATTACCAGAAACTAGACACTCTGAAATTTGCCACTTATTTTGGGGACAAACTGAAATAGAAACGCGGAGGGTATACTTGAGATATAGTAGGATTACAAGCTAAATGACAATTTTCCCCTTAATAATAGAGGGAATAATGAATGAATTTCCATCTCAATATTAAGGGTAGAATTGGAAACTAGACACTTTGAAAGTGAATACTTATTTTGGGACAAACTAAAATAAAACTGTATACAAGCTAAATTGACAACATTATCTTATTTGCCCACCTGCTTAATGTGTACTGAAACGGAACACCAAACATGATTACAAGTCTTCCATAATGTCGGTCAAAGTCTATACCTTCAGCGACTTTCCCCCTGCAAAGGTGCAGGAACAAATTATCAGTTTCACGTCTTCCAATATCATCCAATGATCTACTCCAAGTGCCTTCATGCATTTCTTTCAGCACATAAGGATTGCTCGTTACGTATAAAAGTTCAAATGATATTATATATTACAAAAACAAAGTTGACATCGAACATGCTACATCTTCTGTTTACAGGGGAGGGACTCAAATTTGGGACCTCAAACAAGAAAAAGAGACGACACTAGAATGAGATACTTCTAGGACCAGTGGCCAGTATACCAATATGTTTAAGATGATACATGAATTAACATCTCACCTAGGGGTGTTAAAGAGTCGAGCTTTAAACGAGCTACTTGAGCTCGAGCTTAATAATTGTTGATCTCGAACACACACAAACTCTTTTAACTTCATGAGTCGAGCTCCATAACACCAAAGTTCGACTCGGCTCATTCGAATGCTCAAATTAAAATTTTCAGGTCGAATCGAGCCACTCAAGCACATTTTTTTGAGCCAAACATGTTCATATGTTAATAAATCATATAATCAAAGTAAAAAAATAGAATTATTGAGGTCGAGTCAATAAGTGAGCTAATCGAGCTCGAACATTTAAAAAATATTCGAGCTTGAGCCAACCACGAAAAGAGTAGAGCAACTGTTTCTGTGAAGACCTTTGGCTTCTTCAGCGTTTGGGGAAAAAGAAACATAAGAGGAACTTTTGGGAAAAAACTTGAAATATGAATGGTATTGGAATAGAATTTCTAATCCCCGTTTAAGCTGATAATTGCAGGGTACAATGAAGACACATCTCTGGCTTACATAATTTGCAAGGATCAGGCAGCTCCTAATAAGTTAAAGGTATATTCTTAAAATTCTTGTAGCTCTTGTTAGTACTAATAGACTGACTCACAGCAAAAGGCTCCCAACATCTGTGGGGTTGGTCGTGGGGAGAAGGGATCATCATTTATGAATTTATGCCAATATCTAATCTCAATTGCAGTCCTTATCCTTCATAAGATGTTGGCAAACCAATCCTTTTAAGGTGTTTAAAGTTTTGCTTTGAAAAGCACGAATGAATTGGATACGTTTGGTACACGGACAGTATTGTACTGGACAAAACAAAAAATTGTAGTCCCACATTTGGTGCGACAATTCCGGACAGAAGTGAGTGGGACAAAAATGCAATTTTTCTATCCCGCCAAAGTAAGTGGAACAACAATCAGGGAGATGGAACAAGCTTGGTAAATTAGCAAATTACTAAACTACCCATGTCAAATTAAAACCTTCTACAATTCTCACTCGCCTACCTCATCCAAACAAGCAGAACAAAACAGTTGTTCAGCATTTGGTAAGACAGAACAGATAAAATGACCAATTTACCCCTACTGAGTTGTTCATATCTTTTATATATTTTGATTAATTTATTAAATTATAATAAAATAAATATTTTTATAACAAAATATATCATTATAAAATTTTCGTCAAGACGATTAAAATGACACCAAAATAAAAAGTCCATGTAGTTTCCAAATTTTATTTTATTCCTTTTCTATATTTATTTTTTATTATTAATATTTAATAAATTACATAAATTAACCAAAAACGGGATCTGATTCTTTATAATAGTGAMCACCTCTTCTTCACATAAAACCATCCGTTCAGAGTCGACAAGCTTACCAACCACCCAAGGGCTTATGGTCCGGAGAAAGAGTGAGGGGTTCAGAGCTTCCCCCTAACGAAATCCYAGTGGGAGTAGAAAAGGCCAAAGCAGGTTACTCCTCAGAATGTTCACCTGTGATACCCCTGTCTATCACAGGGGTATCCATATATTGTTACCCTACTTCCGAGTTAGAAGGGCCTTCACCCGCGGGACCAAAGAAGAAGCTGACAACAACTGTTGAAGGCTAGAGGAGCATGCTAACAGGGTCCTTTAGACAATCAGAAATCCTCTCAGGCTCAGAGCGGACAGCAAACTCATATTCAAAACCCAATATAAAAATAATATTTTGAGGATAGTAAAGTGAATTTTAAAAAGCATAAAATATAATAAATAAAATTTAAATAATGAATAAGATGTAAAGATGGAGGCATATTTGATATTTTAAAAAACAGAATTAGGTTCTCTTTTGAGGTTATATTGGTAACATATAGGTCTTGTTCCATCGGTTGGGGGTGGAACCACACATGTTCCTGTGTGTTCCACATAAAAGTCCTGCCAAACATGGAACAATGATCCCTATTTTGTTCTGTCCAATGTACCAAAACGCACCCTAAAAGATCTGGCTACTAAAATGTAAAAAAACCACTACAACAGAGGTATTTCAATAGGCACAACTAAATTTCATCAAACGGTAAGTGTCGAGGGTCCACAATGTTACCTGGCAACAGAGAAAAACACAGCACCTCTCCCACAATCACAAGCTTTACGATAGTTGTCTAGTGCTAACGTAGTTTCAACGACATCTTGTGTCTCAATGAAGACTAGTTTACGCTGCATTATTTCCTAGACCATAAGCCTGAGTCAGTAACATCACCAGAAAACAAAAACCATATAAAATTCGTTCATTATGACAAAATTATCATAAAGAGAACTGAAATTGTAAGAAACTTCTATAAATTCAAACAAAATCATAACAGTACTCCCTCTGTCCCCAAATAAATGGCCATATTAAAAAAGCACACAGTTTTAGAAATGTATAATTATTGCATTCTTTGATTAACCGAATGACAATTCTACCTTAATGAACTTCTCCATCTCATCAACTCTTAAATATTTGCGCATCATAATTAAGGGTAAAATTGGAAATATAGTAAAATATAACCAATGACTTCTGTGGCCACTTATAATAATAGTACTCCCTCCGTCCCCAAATAAATAGCCATAATAAAAAAGCACAACAGTTATAGAAATGTATAATTATTAAGTGTCCCCCCACAGTCAAGAATTGGAGTTCCGCCTGAAGAAGTAGGGGCCGCAGTAGCTGCCGAATCTTCTACTGGTACTCTTTAATTAAGTGAATGACAATTCTACCCTTAATAACTTCTGCATCTCATCAAAACTCTTAAATATTTGTGCATCGTAATTAAGGGTAAATTTGAAAATTTAGTAAAATAAAACCATGATTTCTATGGCCACTTATTTTGGGACAGAGGGAGTAACCAATATAGGGTTTGTTAAATAGTGTTGTCACCTTCAAGATCCCAGTTTCATTCCAACTGTTCACTATGGCATCCATATATGAGTAACTGACAAAGAAACAAACGATTCCATCCGGAACTACCGACACCATCTCCAACAAAAGCCTTCCGTAGTTTCTTTCCACTCCAGGATCACTTCTCAAATCAAATTTTGTGCTAACGGGAAGCTGATCACTGTGATTAAAAAAACATTATATTAATATTTGAGAGCACATGGATTTTTAGATACAATAGTGAAGGGTTAGGTTCAGGGGAAAACTGCAAAAAAATGAAAAATTGGGGAACACCTTGGTAACCGTTTATCTGGACGGTATGCACATGCGCATACAAGTAATTTGTATACAATTTTTCTGGTATGCACATGTGCATAACATGCAAATGTGCATAAAAACCAAAAAACAGGTTCAATACTTGTATGGACGCGTGCATACCATCCAGATGAATGGTTACCACGGTGTTCCTTAGTTTTTCATTTAGTTGGGGGTTTTCCCCTGAACCTCCCTCTAATAGTAAATAACAGAAATACTCCCTCTGCCCAAAAATAAATGTCCACAATGAATAAGGTACATGGTTTAGAAATGTGTAACTATCACACTTTTTAATCAACTAAATGACAATCTTACCCTTAATAATAGAGGGATTAATGAATTTCCCTGTCTCATAACTAAGGGTAGAATTGGAAAATGGGCACTTAACTTTGAAAATAGGAACTTATTGGGGAACAAATAGAAATGTAAACTCTTATTTTAGAACGGAGGGATTGTCAATGATTTTACCTTCCCCGTGAGAGAACCATGGGGCATATACAATCCCTTGTTAAGGACATGGTAAAACTCCGACTAACCACTGGATTGAAATTAAGAAGTCGAGGGTAGAGATCAATTGGGCTCAGAGTTCCAGATGTTATCACAACGGATTGAAATCTGTCGAAAACTGGCTTTATTGCTAGAGAAGCGTCATGGCAGCTCAGCTGAATATATTATGAAAAGGAAAAAAAAATTACCAACAAAAGAATGCACAAGTAAAAGAAAACATGATATTACAGCAAGCATAACATGCAGAACACATTTCCTAGAGAAGAGGTAAAGATTGGAGATTTTTGACGTTATTTTTGTACTCCCTCTGTCCCAAAATAAGTGTCCAGTTTTCTAATTCTAATTTGTACCAAAATAAGTATCCACTTTCAAAAGTAAGTGCCTACTTTCCAATTCTACCCTTAATTAGGAGATGGAGAAAAAATTCATTACTCCCTCTATTATTAAGGGTAAATTTGTCATTTAGTTAATTAGAAAGTGTAAAACTTGCACATTTCTAAAATTGTGTGCCCTTTTCATTGTGGAAATCTATTTTGGGACAGATGGAGTATTCTTTTACATTTTTTCGACATTGAACTTTCCTATTTTCAATGTTTACCACCTAATGTAAGTTATGCAATCATCATGTGTGAAGTGGTGATAAGTTTATATCAGCTTAGAAGTTGAAAAATAGTTATCTGACTTCAAAGTCAATTTTAGTCTCAAAATATATATAGGAAACAGTACATGGAACAAGGGGACCAAAAAAGTTAAAGCAGGGATACATTTTCTGGTTCTGCTAGCAATAGATATAGAGAGAGAGAGAAAGAGAGGGGCGGGGGGAGCTTAAAATACAACCCATACAAACCATGATCATCACTTATATTAAGAATCAATTGAGATATTTATGGAAGGATAGATTTCATTTATTATGATCATGACTTTAGATTACGAAACAATCAAAATATAAATGGAACCAGATGTTCATTAGGCTAGATGAACAGTTAAGATTGGTTTGTATGGTTCATAAGAATTCAATGGTATGTATTTGAAACTTCCCCCCCCCCTCTTTATATATATATATGTATGCGTGTGTGTTGCAGCGATAAGAGATGATGTAACCCTCATATAAGCATGCATTTAGATTATAAATCATGATTATTTGTTGTAAATGAAATAAATACTGAAAACGTAATACATTATAAAATACCTGCAGGACTGGATCAGGAATATGGGGCATTCTCTCATCGTAAGGTTCAATTATGATCGAAAATCCCCTGGTGTATGTCCCCACGAGTGTGGCAAAATCGCAAATTGTTTGGATGTGCAAAAATTCATCAGTGTCAGTGATTTCCAGAGTTAACATAAGTGAGTGCAGACGATCATAGCAAAACTTCAACATTTTTTGGTCAATTCCAACATGTGAATTCACGGAGTTAACAAATGTAACAGGGCCCTCTTTTTCAACATTTTCAGTTTCCAAACGCCCTTTCAAGTACTGTACTAATCTCCGTAAAACAGACAAGAAATGCTCTGCTCGCCGTATATTTCCGGGAACCGCCTCCTTCAAAATGTCATCAGGCAAAGCAGGATTTGCAAGCCAGGTATCACCAACTGTAAAAATCACGAGTAAAAATCCAAAAAAACATGATGCACAAGAAATACCGCAAAGTTAATAACTCCCTTCGTCCCAAGATAAATGTCCACGATGAAAAAGGCACACAGTATTAGAAATGTGTAATTATTACACTTTTTATTTGACTAAATGACAATTTTACTCTTAATAAGAGAGGAAGTAACGAATGTCTCCATCTCATAATTAAGGGTAGAATTGGAAAGTAAGCACTTACTTTTAAAAGTGGACACTTATTTTGGACAATCTAAAATAGAAATGTGGACACTTATTTTGGAACGGATAAACATGTACATACGGGGCAGGTTCCCTCTTTGTGCTAAGCCCTCAACAAGCCGGTTGTATTCAGCACGCAACCTACCAGCATCAGTGGCCTTAAACCTTCCTACCAAGTTAAACAAAGTTAAAATAAAGATTATCGAACATCCGTAACAAGTTTATCCCATAAATGTGAACAATTATATCTCATAAATCTCTTCCCTGCAACGAGGACTGAAACCAATAAAAGGGAAATTACATAAACTAAAGAAATACAAAGTTTTTATCTTGCAATAATATCATACTCCTATGGTGATTATTAAAACACGACATTTATGTATTTATTTTATTTTTCTGCATTAATATTCGATTTCAAGGAGATCTTGGCACAAGAAAAAGGTAGAAACACATAACAGTCGTTATAGCACAACCAGTAAGTGTTATATGCAAAGCAACAATCTATTCCACATTTGCTATGAACATGAGCGTATGTCCCTAACTTATTTTGCATTCTTAATATTAGCTCAAACAAGATAATGACTTTGGACCAAAGAGCCATTGGATGAGCGGTACCCGGGTTACCGGTAGAGCCTAGCCACCCAGGAGGTTAAGGGTTCAAACCTCATCAAAGGTGATGAGTGTGTGTGTAAGAGCCGTACATAAATATTATATACTTCAAAAAAAGATAATGGCTTTAGTCTGCATACCCATTTCCTTATTCTCATGCTTCATGTTCACAATCATTCCACATGAGGGTAGTACATCAATGTCTCCCACACATGATAGTGACACAATTTTATTCCAATAATTTAGTAGATGCACAATAGGATCATAGAAAAATCAGAGTCTAGGATGAGCATTTATACCCCCCCCCCCCTCCTATGTACCTATCAAAATGGTTATCACAACAACACAATGAAAACAAGAGTTAATTGATTAACCAAACCAAACCAAACAAAACCCATTTTATCCTGCACGAAATAGGGTCTGGGGACGGTAAGATGTACACAAACCTTACCTCTACACCGAGGAGTAGAGGTTGTTTTCATAAAGACACCATGATAAAGAGTTCAATGACTACCAAACGAAATGAAACGAACTTAGTATATCCCACACAGAGGTAGGGTCTATGATGTAAGCAGACATTACCTCTACCCCAATGGGTAGAGAGGTTGTTTCTGTGAAGACACTAGGCTTGCAAAACAATAAGAGTTAAATGATTAATAGTCATAAAAAATACCTGTCAATCTCCTGAGACATCTTATTAAGATTTCTAGTAGCCCCTTCAAGTGTTTGCCTCCTTACACTGACACTCAATGCCTCAATGCACACATTGTCAATATTGTGTGCCTCATCAAACACCACTACAGACTCCCTCTGCATCTCCTTTGAGATGATCCCAGCTACCTTTGGGTCAAGCAAGTACTGGTAGCTATAAACCACCACATTTGCAAATTGCACCATATGACGTGCTAGAAAGTACGGGCACCACCCTTTCTCCTTCCCGAACACCCTCAGATCCTGCCAGAAGTTTAAATCGTTATGTGATTAATGCTAGAATCGATCAAAACAAAAATAAAAAAAGCATGTAAACAGGATTACATTCAGAAAACTGCCCAATGTAGTTAAAAAGGCAATGGATACTTAGACTTTTCAGGTACGTGTGGTACACGGGACCGAATAGAACAAAAACTTGTACCACGTTTGGCATGACATTAGACTAAGGGCCTGTTTGTTAACAGCTTAATGAGTTTAATGGGACTCACAGCTTATACGATCAGCTATACAGCTATACATGACCGTTTGGTAGTTGCATAAACTTAATGATATAGAAAGTGGCTTATTAAGTAAGCTTCTAAGGAGAGCTTTATGCAGCAGAAAGCCAAGTTTGTTCCAAAAACCTGCCCCTCCCAATTAACAAGCTCGCCTTCTATGAAAAAACCAACCCAAACAAAAACCCTCTCAATCTATGCACAGAAAAATCCACACAGTCAGCTTTCTCCTTAAAAGGCTTAATGCGAAACCAACCAAACAACCCCTAAGACAGGATGGAACTAAACTGAGTGGGACAAAAATGCCAAAATTGGTGGAACGAAAACTAGGGAGACGAGATAAGATTGGAAAATTACTTTAACCACCAATGTGAAATCAAAACTCTAAAACCTTCCATATTTCTTTCACTCGACCGTCCCTCTTGGCTCACTCTCGCCATCCAGTCCCATACTCCTATCCAGTCCCGTAAGCAAAAAGACATACACATAGGCATACTGACGTAGTAAGGCATCCACATACATACGTATACGTCTCCGTACAGACCACATGATTTCGGGGCTGGCGTCCAAGATTTACTTTATATCCTATAGCAGAATTAGAGCAATATGCTGATAAGAAATCTATGTTCTTTTCAAACACATAACAACCAAAAAAGTGCAACTTGCAAGCCTGTCCTGTGTATAATAAATTACACCATTACAGTGCATATTCATATGTGAAGTAGTAGCCGAACCTGTAAAGTGTACACTCCAGGAGGCAAAACAGCATCGGAACCAGCTTTCTCATAGCTCTCAAAGAAGGAGCAAGTCGGAATATTAGGGTTTTCAATCGCAAGTGCCCTAACCCAGCTAGCAGTTAATTTCCGACATCCCGCATCAACCGAATCCCGATTCTCCGCAGAAACCACATTGGGATTTACACACAAATTCTTCCTAGACGAAAGTCCAAGAGCAAGCATCCGAGCAGACGGCCCGATATTATCAAGCTGGTACTTGTGAAGAAGCTTCAGCTCCGCTAGGGTTTTCTCCATTTCATGAACAGTGCGAGTACAGTAGAGGAGTTTAACAGGATTTGATGGTTTAGAGAGAGTGTAGCTGGTGATCAATGAGAGAAGAGCGATGGTTTTTCCGGTGCCGGTAGGCATTTCTAAGAGGCAATGGCCTTTGGCATCTAGGGCTCGTTTGAGTTCGATCATGTAGGAATACTGTTCGGGGTAGATGTGATCGTAAGGGAAGTAAACTGTTACATCTTCGATTTGGAACTTCATCTTCTTCCTCAAATTCACTATACTCTTCTTCGATTCGATTCGATTCGATTCGATTTTACTCTGTGTGGAAATCTGTCGATAAGAAGCGAAGGTCGCCGAAGATATCGGCGTCGGACTCAGAAGATTAACGACGACGGCGTAATTTTTTATTTTCAAGGAGCGCAGGGAGGTTTAAGGTTCTGATTTTCATTCGTCCCTGAAGTTCATTAAAACTGAAATTTTAGTCCTTGTATTTTTGAAATTACACTTTTTTGTCCTTGTACTTTGCAATTCATTATGTTTTCATCCATACGGTTTGCAATTCATTATGTTTTCATCCATACGGTTTGCAATTCATTATCTTTTCATTCATTATCCTTGGATGAGTAAAACAGGAAATTGTAAAATATAAGAACAAAAACGAATTGACTAATAGGCTGTATTTTTCAGGTTCATAGGAGTACATCTATATTTCTGCTTTACGAATATGATATTTTTTGGGCATTCCGAATAATATCAAGTCTTATTCCTATTTTGGTATTTTTCATTTCGAGCTACTGATTAGCAAAGGACCGAAGAAAACTTTATAGTTATGAATAATTTTGAAAATACAGAAATGTAGTTTACTCTATTTTTTTAACAAAAACTTCTCTTTAAAGACTTTTGTAGTGCAAAAAAAAATTCAGAAGTTATTTAATATTTAACATTTATCCTCGTCTATTTGAATCGTTTTATAAACCTTCGCCTTTAAAAGAAATCATCATAAATATATCGTGTTAATAGTATTATATGATGTTTATGTTTTCCCAAAAGTGAAGCCAATGTTTCCATAATGTTTCTATGAACGTTTTTTGAATTTTCCATAAAAAAGATAATAAACAGTAGTTAACGGAATGAAAAAAAAAAACTTTTTTGCTTTTATATAATACTAGAAGGACACTCGCACAATACAGCAAGATACATTTTGATTTTGATGTTTTGTTTTATATTTTGGCTCTATCGATAATATAATGCGACTTTATATGGTTTTGAGAAAAAAAAATGTTTTTATTTTTGAAGAAATATAAATTTAAAGATATTATAAACTTTTGAAAAAAAAATCGATATTAGTACTAAATTAATTATTTAAAAGTTCTTGTTTTTGTGTAATTTTTTTAATTCAATTTTTTTATTATAATTTAATTGAAGTTTAAAAACAAAATAAATTATTTTTGGTTTAATAAAATAAT